TCTCGTGGAACCTTTCCAGAACTTTGGTATGTGCAGCTTTGTCCTTGGGATCTGGCAGGGTTCGTCGCTCGGGATAGTACGTCTCTAGGTACTCGAGGATAGCCATGCTTTCGGCAATGACGGTCCCATCCTCGTCAATCAAAACCGGCGTCTTCCCTCTCGGGTTGACTTCCAAGTATTCCTGGACTCTGGTTTCTCGAACGGGAGTCATGACGTGCAGGCGCTTTCGGTGGTAAGGCATTTTCTTGTATGCAAGCAAAAGCATGACCCGCCACGAGGGGATGGAGCCGTTGACGAAGTACAAAGTTCGCTTGCCATCGTACTTGGCCGAGAAGGTGCTTCCATCATTACATGTATCCGAAGGGGGCGCGACGAGCTGCTTGAGAGACAAAACGTGTCCGTAGTACCTTTCTACCTTCTTCAGGGCGTCGATGAGAAGTTTCTCGCTCGTTGCGCCGACACAGTCTTCCAACACTCGAATTCGATATCCGAGGAAGAAGGCATCAGCAGCTGTCGCAAGGACGCAGTTGTTAGCTGTTACCCCAGCGAAGTACAGCGGACCGTCCCCGACGTCTTGGTCCTGAAGCCACTGATGCAGATCGGTCGACGTGAAGGCAGAGTACCAGGTCTTCGTGACTACCTTTTGTGCGAAGCGGCTCGCCCAATCCGCAGCCTCTGGTATGAAGGCGGCACCGCTGGATCCTGGGACGCAGATCCTTCGTTTGGCCTGGTGGGTTCCATGGAGAAAGTTGGTACTCTTACCGCCCGGAGAATCTGACAGCCGAATCGAGGAGCGGAATCCATCGTCTCGCAAAGGAGGGTTGGAGTGGTAGTGCTCAGAACTATGGTATTCGCTACGGACGAAGATGATTTTCCCCGGAAATCTCTGGCAGAGTTGATCGATGTTTGCGAGAAAGTTGGCGGTTTGGAAGGCCTTGACGCGGACTTGTCCTTCGGGGGACAGGAAATCGTTTTGGAGGTCAATCACGAGGAGGGCCGGAGCCATCGTTCAAGACAGCCTTTTTTTGCGTCCCTGATGAAATGGTCCAGATGGTGGCACCGGCGATAATGCACGACGAAAAAGAAAAGGAGGGGCGGGGCGGGGGCCTCCACCTAATAATGGCAAGGGCTCCAGATGGAGCCAAGCCATTTTGGGCTATTTGTCGAATGGCAGTATGTGCCTGATATATCAGGCCGACATGGGTGCAGAAGGAATTACCCCTATTCTCACCCCCATCCTGTATTTTGAACCTTCTTCATACACCTACACCACCGATCAGTAGAACCACCGTTTTTAGCCCATAGTGCCGTGCTGCATCCAACACTATTCTACCGCCCCACCGCCCACTCGGCCTGGCCAAGAGGCCGAGGCACTTCGCAAGGGCAGCCAGCGGTCGGGAAAAAAGACAACTTCCAGCAAGAACTTGACTTTGGGAAATCCACGTCAAAACAGCCCCAAAACGCACCTAATCTGTGAAGCAATGGCTTCTACGGATCGGCTCGCCTCCCCAGCGTGTTTTGACACCCGTAGAGGTGCCGTTATGGCCACGGTTGCAGCAGACCACGAAACACGACCGCAGGCTTCTGAACACGACGCGGTCCATCGATGCCGACGACGAAGGGACTATTGCATCTTGCAGCCATGTGCAAGGACGGAACCCAAACAACCCAACGCCACAATCGCAAACAGCACACAGCCGCAGATGTGCCTGCGGGTCGGCCCATCACCACGATGAAGTTTGCGACCTCCCGCATCGGCGAGCTGTCGAGCAGAACGGCATCATCTCCCGCGTGAATCGAGCACCAGACAATCAGCATGCTACGTTTGCTACCGCAAAAAATACTGCAGATAAGGAGACAGACCGGTCCTCTGTCGCCCCTTTCTCGTAGAGAAGGAGTCGTGAACCTTCGACACACCCGGCAATGTTTGCGAAGGTCGCAACGGAACTCTCATTCCTAGTAACTCGACTCCTCAACCTAGCGGAGCTCTGCACATCGCCAGCGGTTTACTCTAGCTCGTGCTATCGTCAGCATTACGAGCCGCACACCGAAAACATGCGGTCGACACCTTCATGGCTAACCTGGCGAGACTGGAGGGAACTTGTGCGGTTGGCGCGGATCCTGCATAGTTCGGAGTGGCGCATGGAGATGTGGGAAAGCCGAACGCGCTGTGGTCCGTCGAGACTGCAAAGCCCATGGTCGTGGATTTTGAGCAGGCGGTAGAGGTAAAGCCTCCCCGGCCGCCCCTCGCACAGACCGTGCCGAAGAAGCAAAATACGATGGACGCGAGTAGTGCAGCGTATAAGAGGGCGACCAATCAACCACACGTGCTAGTACGGCAAGCTATTTCGCGAGCAATCACTACTGCCACATCCTCTCATGAAGAAGGCCAGCTCAGCGGGAGGAAACGGTGACCGTACCGTTGGACTGTTTTTGGGCCTCGGCCGCTCGTCACGGACTTGTCGTAGACGACTCACCCGCCTTGTCATTCTCAAATATCTGGGAGAGGCATAGCAAGCAAAGTGCCTGTTTCGCACCACTAACAAATTTGAGATCAAAATGCCCGTCTCGTCAACATTGCCATTCTGGGTATTACTAGCTTCTAATACTGCCTCCTCTTATTCTCCCTCCTCCACGATGCACCCATGCCGTGCTGTTCATGCGCTGCAAATCGGACCAGGGCCGAGCAGACGAGATTCCAAAGTGTGGAAACATGTATTAAAGGAGGGAGGGAAGTTTTGGGAGGATGAGACACGTGGGAATTTCCGCTTCTAACGCTCCTTAATAAACGACAGTAGCACAGTATGGACTGTACGTACCTGTGAACTGAGCATTGCGTGCTCTTAGTGCCGCCGTACCTTGCACCATTCTACACTACTGTTGCGTGCAGCAGGTACACTCTGCAAGGTACCTGGGTCTAGTGACGTATTTCTACAGTTCTACAGGCACAATCTGCATTACGACGTGCACTCCGCGACAGCCGTAGGGCCTTTCTCACGAGCATGCTGTCCCTAGACGGCTGATGTCCCTCAATGCTATCGTTCTATTAAGCATCTACACCATCTCAGTCTGACGATCCCTCTCACCTCTCCGCAGAAACCCGAGCATCATCAAATCTCTCTCTTTCCTCACCACCACCCACCCCTCTCGCCCCTCCGCTCCTTCCCCAACCCACCAGTCCCATAAAAATACCTGCTTATGTGTTATATATCCTAATCCTGCCCTCGACGGGGCCTAAGGGCGCAACAGACGATTTATTTTTGTGAATTAAAAATAGAATTTTTTTTTTTTTTTTTTTTTGGGTAGCATGAAGCTGGAATTCGGGCTCGCGATGGGGAAACTAGGAGGAGTGAAATTTCCCCTCGTCACTGGTCCCAGCCCTCTGCAATTAGAACTGGCGACGAAATGAGTTGATTTGGGAATATTTAAAAGACCGAACTTGTATTTCGAAAAACTCTACTTTCAACTTGACGCTTAGGATGAAGATTGTAGGAAGAAAGAAAGAAACAAGCCACGCCCTCTTCGAGTATCTCGATCCTGAGTCCTGATGGACTCCCTTTCCGGCCCCTCCTTCGCCCATGTATAGACTCCAAAGTCTACTTGTTTCGTCCGGGGAAGAACGAAGACATTGAGCTCTCATCCCTCGTAGTGCCCATTGCCACAGAGGACTTCCAGTACTGTCTTACTACTTTGACCGTCATGTTGGGTGCACCCTCATGCTCCCATACTCGACTTGTTCAATTCGGCCGGGCAGGTCTTGATTAAAGCATGGCATTCGATAATAGAATACCAAGACGATCACCCATTCGCCTCTCACAAGGCCTCACGCATAAAAGTATCATAGTGGAAAATCTTAAGACGAAACAGATAATAAGATCAACAAAGAGGGTAATAAGCGTCGCGGGATGGCTGCTTAGGCGCATGACAATGCCTTTTTCCCGCTTTGCACTTTGCGCATTTCGCCTCCCAATTTACGAGTATTAATTCGTAAAGCCCCAAGCTCATGCGGCAGCTTCCCGGACTTCCAGAATGACTGAATCAGTTTCCGTCATCTCGCTTCTGGAGTTTTTGGCGATCACAGGGAAAGAGAAAGAATCGAGGGGCCCTCGCGATGATTCCAGTCCATCAATACTATGATGCGACCTCTCTTTACGATGAAGGCTCAGATCGGTGGTCCAAATTGTCCACATTGGTCGCCCGCCGCTGGGTCGACTTGTTTCAGGGGCAACGACAACGCACCGTGGTCTGTGGACGGCCCGCCGCCTGGCTGGAATTGACGTTGATGAAAGGAACTGAAGACATCAATTAATTGATAAATTGATTCGCTAATTACCTTGGTAGAACATATCCCTTTCCAGGCACGCCATGGAAATAATCTGCGGCCCAACTCCCACGACCACCACGTGGTTCTCTTCGGATCGAGCTTCCGGTAATCCTCTCCATAGTATTTGCACTAATTAAGGAAAGTCTACCGGCAGCGATATATAAATTAGATAAAAGTCGCTATGCGTAGTCTCGTCCCGGGTCCGGGATGTCCGGGATCCGCAATTAGCTCCACTCAACGCCGGCATCCCGGTATGGCGTAATCACCCTTCCTACTATGAGGTGGCGGGAGAAAAGATGAATGGGTCATATATCTGAAGCCACAAAATTTGCTACCCGCGATGACTTCATTCAATTACCAGTTGAGAACGGGCGGGAACGATCACATCATTGAACTCTCATGCCCTTGCAGAATGCGGGAGGGCCTTTCTTTACACCAGGGTCATGCCGGGGACACTTGGCGACGGCTCAAAATATGTATAAATAAGAGAGGTTCTCTTCCTTGTCATGTAGAGAAATTTTCTTGATCAGGCGACAAGCACAAGCGGAATTCTTCGTGACCAGAAAATCTTCTCCCTTGTCTTCGGAGACTACTTTTTGCTTGAGGTCTTCTCTCTTCATCTTTCCCCTTCTTCAGCAGTTTCTCTCCTTCCCCGAGATACACCTTAGTCTTCACCATGCGCGTGGCAACCATCCTCGCCGCCCTCTCCGCGGCCACATTCGTCGCTGCCGCCCCCGGCCTCGCCCCTCGGCAGGACGACTCTCCCGCCGTGCCCGAGGTGCCCGAGACCCCAGAGGTTCCCGAAGTCCCTGAGACCCCCGAGAAGCCGGCGGAACCCGAGGAACCCGAGGAGCCCGAAGAGCCCAAGGAACCTGTCGAGGCCCCTCCCAAGACTCCCTCCCCCTTCGAGGGCAAGAAGCTCTTCGCCAACCCCGAGTGGTCCAAGAAGCTCGACCAGACCTACGACGCGTTCGAAGCGGCCGGCGATGCCGAGAACGCCGCCAAGGTCCGCGTGATTCAGAATATCGGCACGTTTGTCTGGGTATCCAACGTTGCTAGTCTCAAGAACATCGATGCCGCGGTTGAGACGGCTCGCGAAATCCAGAAGGAGACGGGTGAAGAGCAGATCATCGGCCTAGTCCTCTATGACCTGCCCTCAAGGGATTGCTCCGCCGGCGAAAGCAGCGGCGAGTTCCTCGTCGAAGAAGACGGCCTCGAGCGATATAAGGAGGAGTACATCAAGCCGTACGCAGAGAAACTAGCAGCCGCCGACGACCTCACTTTCGCCGTCGTGCTCGAGCCAGATTCGCTCGCCAACGCAATCACCAACACGGAGATTCCCCTGTGCGAGGAGGCTGTCCCCGCCTACGAGGAGGGTATTGCCTTTGCCATCTCGCAGCTTCAGTTTGACCATGTGCATTTGTACATCGATGCAGCGCATGGTGGCTGGCTCGGTTGGGATGATAATCTCGAGCCTGGTACGTAGTAACTTACCTCATCCACCTTCCCCCCTTCATCGCAGCCAAGTTCTAACGCTTCCTCTCCTCCCCAGCCGCCAAGGAATTCGCCAAGGTCGTCAAACTGGCCGGCGAAGGCGCTCGCATCCGCGGCTTCGCCACCAACGTCTCCAACTACAACCCCTTCAACGCTACCGTCCGCGAGAATTACACCGAATACTCCAATTCCTGGGACGAGAACCACTACACGCAGTCCCTTGCCCCCTTCCTCGAAGCCGAGGGTCTCCCCTCCAACTTCATCGTCGACCAGGGCCGCGTCCAGCTTCCCGGGGCTCGAGAGGAGTGGGGGGCGTGGTGCAACATCCCCGCTGGGTTCGGAGCTATTCCAGGGTCGTCGACTGGGAATAACACGCTTGTGGATGCTCTAGTTTGGATCAAGCCGGGTGGTGAGTCGGATGGGCAGTGCGGGCTGGAAGGTGCGCCTAGGGCTGGGCAGTGGTTCGATGAGTACGCTCAGTTGCTTGTCAAGAACGCACATCCTGATATTGTCGTCCCCGGTGCCGACTCTGGTGAGGAGGATGGTGATACTGAGGGAGATGCCGATGAAGAGGCTGGTGGAGATGAGTGATTTCCGGATTTAGTGAGGTGGTGATGGGTTGACTAGAAACAATACGCGATACCCTTAATAATACGAGTGCGCTTTATGTAATCGTATTAGAATCAAAATGGATGATGTCGACCAAGGGCAATGGAATAAGGCAGTATATATACAGACGAGCTAATAAACGTGTTGCCATCAGCGATGGTCTCTAGTTGCCAGGTCCGGTCTTTGTCAAGTCTGATAATGTTGAAAACGACGGGAAAGCAGCCACACTCTGCCGCATTCATACCGTCGCGGACTTACTTCACTCTCTCAAATAGATAAAAGGCACCAGCCATGTCTACCACGGCATCTTGCTGTCATCGTCCCGGCGGAATACAAGAAGCAAGGACTCAGGCTCGCTTCTCAACATATTGTCTTGGGTGCACTGCCTTTTACGTACATGGAATTATGGCTCAAGAGATCAAAGAGACTCAGATCCTGCAGCTTGGACTCGGCGCTCCTCGCCGAGGCTCTCAATCGTTTCGAACACGGACTGCGGCACCCCAAACTTCAACATCCATATTCCATCGTGGTCCGCGCCCTTTACGGTACTGCTCTGAAAGTGTATCACATCGGAAGCAGCTTCCCAGCACCTGTTGAACCACCGCGGGCCCTTATCACCCTCGCCACCGACGAAAAAATCGCTCGAGGGGTAAAACACGTCGACGCGCAGCCTCTTCCCCGCAGCCCGGAGCACCTCCGCCAGCCGCGCGACGCCGGTATCGTAGTCGCCCCAATCACTCCACCCGTCCATACCTTTCTGCAAGAACAGCACCGCGTCGGAGGAGATGCCTGCGACGCCCTCGGCATAGATGCGGTCGATGATGGGGGACCAAAGTTGAGCTTCGAACTCTGCGCTGCCTACCTCCGCGGCCTCATCCTCACGAGGTGCTGCTGGAGGCTTTGCTTTCTTCCGCGGTAATAGACTCGACACTAGGCCAGCACTCAGACCTATGGTATTGCCGATGAAGGGACCGAGATGGTTGTTAATGAGCCGCGCGAGTTTGTCGGTGTTGCTGATTATGGGACGGGGTAGGGCCTTGGCGATGGAGAGGAGTGTGGATCCGGTGCGATTAGGGAGGATCCATGGACCTCCGATGGCGAGAAAGGGACTCTCCGGGTGGATGATTTCGGGATGGTGGAGTAGCAAGTCGAGTGCTGAGACTGTACCACCGCTGTGGCAGCCAACGGATACATACCGTATCCCGAGATGGGTTAGAAGTGCGATGATAACCTCTACCCGTCGAAGCTATCAGCCTAGTAACAAACTACTAGAGCCGTGAAACTACTACGATGCTTAGACATACCTCGCCACAGGCCCATGCTAGCCTTCGGATCAGCAACAGGATCAGTGCCACCGACTCCCGGACGATCTAGGTTAATAATGCGGACCTTGTGCTTTTTGGCAAGTACGTCCTTGCCGATATGGACGAGCCGGGAGCCTAGCATTGAGCCGAAGAAGAGGAAGACGTTTTCTTTTCCCGGGTCGGCCTCGTTGCGGTAGCCGTAATCGGCATATTTGACCTTGAAGGAGCTGCTGCGGCCGTTGCCAGCGGGAAGCTCGAAGGTGCTACTGAACCGCGGATCGTCAACGTAATCCCTTGGGGCTGTCATTGTAGAGTAGAGGAGTAGAGAGCAGTCGATAACCTGAAATGCAGGGAGGGCCTATTTCGTAAAGAAAGAGCGAGTGAGTGCAAGGTCGCGACTAAGGTAGGAAACACCAAGTAAAACGTGAGATGGATGTGTCGATGCAGGATCAGTCGGAGTTGGTCGAGCGCATATGGGAGCCGGAAGTCTGGACTGGGTTAAAATCACACAAGTCTGATCCCCTTTGTCCACCCCAAGACAACTAACAATAAAAATTTTGAATCATTGGGGCTATATGAAAACCAATTATCCACCAAATATGAAACGAAATGGAAGAAGGGGGCAGCTTGTGCTACCATTCACCGCTCTTCCCGCCCGGCACGGCACAATACGCCGGCCGGGATCGAGCGACTGCCGCACCACCTTGAGTTTTGTTTCCTTCGGCTGCAATCAAGGTTGGGACAGGATCGACCCAAGGGGAAGACCACGATGCTCTCTTCTCTGCTTTTCAAGAATTGCAGGTTTACTCGAGTCCCCTCTGTCCATCTCTCAGAGTCCGATTTTCCCCATCGCGCTTTAGAATGTGTGGTTGGAGATGCAAATGAAGTACCCTGCTCTTATAAGTAACAAGACAAACAACCTAAGATCCTCCATCGTCTCTGGCGCTCTGGTAGATTGATGCCAGATCGATTTGAATTGGTATTTGATTCCCGCAATATCAGGCAGAAATTCCGGGAGATCAACGGCAATTTGAATTGGCCCAAGACTTGGGAGACGATATTTAATGGAATGGAATTTCGGTGGTGGTTCTGCTCTTTATGAAAACAACACATTGATGAAACTGAACCATCTTCGAACATCCACAACTGCGTCGATATCATCATGGCCCGTACAAAGCTGAACCACTACCATCCGTTCTATGACACACCTCCATTGCTCCCGCAAAAAAGACCCGATTTCAGCCAAGACGCCAAAGTCTACCCCATCGATGATTTGTATTGTGCTGTCGAGGTTGAGCCAGGGGCTGCGATGCTTACATCTAGCCGTTATAGCACCGAGCTAGGGTGGTTTGGTGTAACCGTCGATATTGATCCTGATGCCTCATTTCGAAGAGACGAGGATGGTTTGAGTGATTCGTGCCAGCAAGCCTCAGTCGCCCTCCACAAGATGTCGATATCGCCCACTCACCCGACCCATCCGCATATTCCTCGCTGGCTTCGCCGCGATGAATGGACTGGCTATGGAGTCATTGAAAAGCCGACGGGGATGATGCTCGAAAAATTCCTACAACAGCAGCGGTCTGTCATGTTCACCGGGGACCGTATCGCTCCAGCATTCGTCCCTTTACTCTACCAGTGGGCCCTGAACTCACTCTCAGCCATGGAATTCTGTCACTCTCACGAGATTATCGTAGCAGACTTTGGTATCTGGGCTTCGTGGCTAGCGTCCCTCGAGGAGAATCTATCTCTTACACTCTTTGGGCTACACCATGCGCACTTTACCGATGAGCATGGCGGACCATACCTTGGCGAGCTCCGCCTCGGGCCCCGTTTCTCCGCCGCCCTGCTAAATCCCCGGGAGCAGGATTGGCATTGGGTTCGCTGCCACCCAGGCTTTACAGAGAAGACGGACCTCTTTGACTGGGCGACTTTTGTCTACGAGATGGCGACGGACCGGCATCCTTCGAAGAATAGCACAGGCGCGGAGGAGAAACTGGACCCTGAGTTACAACGTATGGATGTAACGGGCTCGTGGCCGGTGCTTGAGGCAGAGTACTTGGGAGATATTGTGCGTAAGTGCTGGGTGCGTAGGCATTACGAGGATGCGGCCTCTGTGAAGAGGGATCTGGTTGTTTTCCTGGAGACGAAGGGATGGCGTGTTGATGGAGAGGATAATCTGGTGGGCTTTGATGCGACGACGCTTCCACTGGTGCCTACTCCAAATCCTCTTTAGTCATTTGTGAATCCCGAATTGATGGCGAGCGTCGTCAATGCAGCTGATGAGGGCTGATTTGCTGGCACTTGCGGGTATACATTGGGGGCTAAGTCAAAAAGGTAGATGCAAAATCTATTCCAATGTCGTCGAGCCCTTCTGAAGTCCGTTTGACAAGAGAACCAATACGATTGAGGGGAGTGGGTGTGGTCTGTCCTGGAGCTCCGCTGAAGAGGGGCAGGAAGACTGTCAAACGATCCAGGTGCACATGAGAGCCTAGTTCGTCGGCAAGGCGATGGGCAAAGCGCAGTTTGCTCCCAGAGCCTGGGTCAGCGTCCCAGTGTGCCTTAGTGCCGAAGATGTGGTCCCTAGACCAGAAGAGGCCTCTTTGCACTCGTCGAGGACTCTGGCAACTAGCGGATGAAGAAACGAGTATTGGTCTAGGCCTTGAAGGGGCATGTTCTGTCCTATAGAGCTGTCGATATGCTTGCCTTGTCGGTACTGGGCACCATTGTATCGAAAGGCTGCCGGAGACGGCTCCCAATTTGCCAAGGCCTTGGCATAGTATGGCCACCGTTTACTTTGTGCAGTTACGGATGGACCCTGGCCTTCACTTCATCTATTCCCCAGTATCAGCCCTTACTTGTCTCCTAGTCCGACCTTATGTTGCTCTCTCTTTGCGTCTGATTCTCACTGAGACACCTATGGCCTTAACAGTGCCCTCGCCGACCCGATCAAGAATATTGTGATGGCGCCCGGCCCGGAACATCCACTGTAGTGATGTTTATGGCCTTAGCTGCCGCGATTCCCAGTGTCCTCGCGCAGAACGGCAACTGTGACAACAGCGTCCAAGGCAAGGTTGGGGAAACGGTGTGTGTGTGTCGAACCCTCCCTGAGGCTTTTCTGCTCCCGTCAATGGCGCCACCGCTGTTTACACCGAAGCGGTCCCGATCCCCCCTCAACGTAGCTCCCGATACCAACACCCACTGCGGCCGGTACCATGAAGTCATCATCCTAGGGGAAGACTGCGGGACCATCACTGAGTACCTTCCACTTCCCGAATCCAACGGTCGGCGAGGAGTGTACCAACATGCGGAGGGACACGAGCTACGCGTCGTCCCCGTGGGCATAATTTCAGGTACCCCGGCTACGGCCCAGTCGTCCGACCCGTGCCCAAGATTGTGAACAATCAAAGGGTGGAGAAGCCGCCCTGGCGCGAGCGACGTCACGGCCGACACGGGAAATTCCTGGCATTGTGATTATCTTGATCGCCAAGGGCACCCACACAGACTGCTGGAAGTACTGCCCTGCTGTCGGGAATGACTGCTCCGGATTGCAGAGTTGGTATTGGGTTTGCGTAGGCCTTTAGTCGCTTGAGTCCTGAGTCCACCAAGCTTGGAATAACTTCTCTGTAATCTTACATCTATCTCACTTGGCCTCTAGTATCGTGACGATAATAGATTCATGAATGCTATCATGATTTATCTCGTTTTCCCAGGCAAAGTCGTTTAACACTTGTCCTCGCCCCTTCCTCGATCCACCTCCCCACCGAGCACTCGCTCCTTCCCTACCCCAACCCCAAAATTTCCCCGTACGATACTATATAACTTAGAACAATCCAGCGAGATGTCACCGAAGCCAGCTGGCTGACGCAGTCGGTTGGTGACAGCAACCGTAGCCTCCGCACGGGGAGGGCTTGGGTTCGATTCCGGTCGCGCGCAAGTGTTTTTCAGGGGAGGGCATCGGATGCTCGGTCACCAGGGATCTGGTAAAGAAATATCCCGGTCAATGGAGATCCCCATCTGGGACTTGTCCCAGTGGTCCAGACGGGAGGCGCGACTGTAATGGCTAGGGCCCCTTTAATTTTTTAATTTTTTTTTTCTTTTTGTCGTTTATTGAAACTACATCTATCCACTAGAGGTGGTGGCGAGAAGGACTCCCTCAGCTTCAGTGCCGTTTGGCGTAGTGTCAGGAAAATGCGTTAGAAATTCGACGTCCTGCTAAGTCTGTTCAACCGCTCTTTCATTCCGGACGCTTTTCGATCAGCAGGCCTCTCGACTTGCTCGGCTGTCTTTCTTGTGCTTGACACGGCCGAGCCTTGCAGGTCGCTCGTGTGGAACTGGTCTGCCGAATGAGCTCCTCGCGTTCCTTCGGCTTTCTTCGGCGCCGGAGCCGGGTTTGGCCGGACTGGATCCGTTGACGTGGGGCCGTCTTCGGTAGACTTGATCGGGATTGGGGCCGAGTCTAATTCTAATTCTGACACTCCAAGAAACGGACTCCTTGGTCGATCTTTGCCGTTTTCTACAGTGATGACATTTACGCTGTGCATGTGCACATGCAAGTGCACCTCCGCCGTGAGATGCGATCGGAGAATCGAGATGGAGATGGGATGCCAAGGATGGTAGTTTAATATTGGAAGTGGAGAGTCGTTCGAAAGGGGAGGGATTTTCCAGAAGAGGGAATCCGAAAGTACGGAGTAGGAGATGCAACATTCGATCATGATCAGACTGGCTCAGACTAGCAGCCAAGAATTCCGGGAAATCGTCGGTAATGGGAAATTGGGCCAAGCTTTAATGTGATGGCAATACTGATGCCTGGAATGACTAGAAATAATAGGGGTTGGAAGCGCAGGATCTTGATAATCGCCGCTAAAGGACGCTCAGGAGTTGTCACACCGGTCGTATTGGTCTTAACATCTCCGCATCAAATACGAATTGCAGAGTGACATACGAAGTACACTAGGTCGTGATAATACTTCATCGGCATCATGAGCGTGAGTGTTGAAGAATTCCGCGAATATGTCGAAAGTGGAGAGGTGCCCGTCGACAGCCATGATCGGCTGTTGCGAATAGCCTTCGTTGATCTGGACGCACGCGGGTGGGATGGCGATGGAGTCTTCGATGTCGTGGAAGAACTCCACACGCGACGTTGGTCATTTGGCCGGGGGGGTTTACAGTTCAATCGGTACGATTTCCAAGTAGAGCTAGTTTTTCCCTTGTCGAAAGAAAACTGACCTCATAAATCAAAGCACTCTCGACGTCTTTTACTTGACCCAAATCATGGCAGCCCTCTACCGCGCCTCCGACCAAATGAACGGCGACTTCTGGCCAACGCTAGAAAACTTTGACACGTTCTACGACCAGCAGCACGACCTGCTTAACCGGGACGCATGGAAAGAGTACTACTCACCGGCTTTCCTGAAGCAGCCCACCTCGGCTCGCTTCTACCGCCTCCCCAACTTACGGGACCTCCCGGACGCGAGCGACCCGCTCGCGGGACCACGACCACAAAAAGGATACGGCCACTTCACCAAGATTCCGCGCTGGGCACACAGCGTTGTACGCACGCAGCGGAATCAACCTACCCTCCCCAAAGAAACCATCACCCAAATAGCCCTCTCCACCCTCCAGCAGACCACCTCACGCTTACGAAAGGACAACCACCCAAAGGGACAACCTTACTCCGAGACCCAAACCTGGTTCTGGCTTCGGAAAATGGGCATAGATTCGCCGTCGCGCTCCCCCAAGGAGTCCGCAGGCGGACCTGACCAATTCGGCGCTGACATTGGACGAGGCGACATCGACATGTGTCGATGGGAAGCGTACTACTCACCGAAACTGTGGAACTCGATGGAGGCGCGGACTGTGGTTCTCGAGCCCGATTTGGACGGGACGCGCCCGAGCGAGTTTTGGGGGTGCGGGTGGCCGGACGGCGGGACGACCCTTTCCGTGTGGCAGAGGGGGTGGGATCCAGAAGTGGGGAGTGAGGAGGAGATTGAGTTCATGGCTGCTGTTGCGGCGAAGGAGACGGAGGGTGTCGATGTTGATCTGGGGAATTTGGACTACTCGATACGGTCGCAAGTGCTTTTGGCCGTGATGCGTGCTGCCTTTGAGACCGCGACTGAGCGGCGGGAAAAGGAAATAGAGGATCTGAAGCAGCGGATAGTCGAGATGGGAAGGATCAAGGATGAGAGTAAGGCTGAGCAGTGGGTTCGGGAAGTCTTGAAGGTCATGGCGCCGTACGCGCAGAAGCGGGATCAAGATGGATGGCCTGCTGCTGTGGAGGATCGGGGTGAATTGCTGCGGCGCATCCTGCTCGAAAACGGACAGCTTTTCGCAAGATGGAGGCATCCGCGCCGTTCCAAAGAGTATCATTTCGAGCCGGAAGCAGCGGAACCGTGGTAAATTTTATATCCTCGCCCTCATGCATTGGTGTTTGAATCTGCAGATAACCATCCTGCCGGGTTTCTTCATGGGGATTCTTCAGGAACTTGGGGGTCACATCCAGTGTGTCGCATCCAATGTGTCATCGCCTGCATCAACTTGCGCTAGTCTCGTCGTTTGGCACGGGTCTGGCCGTTAACGTCAACGTGGTCACCCGTAGGAAGCGGGACGTAGGAGCGAGACTAACCTGAATCGGCATCACGTCGTTGCCATTGGCTTCGGGACCAGATACGACCCCGGTCCACCTACTCCGTAGTATCGCTAGTCTCACTACTTAATGGTTCCGTGGGGGACCCTCTCTCTTTTACCCCTCACCGTCATCGCAACATTCGTAAGATCGACCAATTTTTCTTCCTCGACGACTTTGGAACCAAGAACAAAGATGGCGGACGAAGCTCAGGCTACGGCGAAGGGCGAGCGCTCACCACGCGGACAAGCTTCTCCGGTTGGCGAAACCGCACACATCGAGCCGGCCGTACGTGAGAAACAGATTCCTGCTAAAAACTAAAGAATCTCCAATTAACCCTCTCTCTCTTCTAGCCCCAAAATGAAGAGGAAGACGACCCAACCCTCGGCGAAGAAACCCTCTCCTCAACCGCCTCCATCTCCTCAACCATTCTCGAATTTCAGACCCTTCACGGCAGGCGATATCATGCCCGCTTTGGAGACATCAAGTATTGGTAATGATTCAAATGAAAACAATGCGTCGACCTGGTTTTCCGAGAATGCGACTGATTTCGTAGGGCTGCGAATGATGAGCGACAGTTGGAGTCCGAGGAGTTACAGTAAGCGATCAAGGTTCGAGCTCGGACTTGGTGTGTTTGATTCTTATGAATGGACTAGGCATTTGGCCATGACGTTGGCTTTGAAGGGCGAGTTTTATCTGGCGCCGATTGACCGATCCAAAATAGAGGTACGGACAGTAGCAGTCCTTTCGCCTCCATGAGCCCGAACGACCGGCTTGACTAACCTTTTCTCGTCTTCACTAGAAAGCTCTTGATATTGGCACCGGAGGCGGTATGTGAATGGGTCTGATTTGGACTTGAAGATCCAGCTACTTACTCCCAGCGCAGGCCTCTGGGCAGTAGATTTCGCCGACGACAACCCCAACGTCGAGGTGATCGGCACCGACATCTCCCCCGTCCAGCCCCAATGGGTTCCCCCCAACCTCCGCTTGTAAGTCGAAAAACACGATACTGCCCCCCCTCCTACCTCCAAGCCTAACTTGTCCAGCGAAATCGAGGACTTCACCAAAGAATGGACCTTCGCCCCAGAGTCCGTAGATTACATCCACCTCCGCTGGCTCCTCGGCAGCGTCGCCGACTGGGACGCCTTCTTCAAAGAAGCAGCCCGAACCCTCAAATCAGGCGGCATCGTCGAGTCGCACGAGCCCCAGTGCCACATCGAGAGCGAGGACGGCTCCGTCAAGGAGGACAGCGCACTGGCGAAGTGGGGGCCCATGTTCGTCAAGGCGGGCGAGAGCTGGGGACGGCCTTTTGATATTATTGATAAGGGTATTCAGGAGCAGGCGATGAAGAATGCGGGGCTTGTGGATGTGTGCGTGAAGGATATTACGGTAGGGGCCTCTCCCTTTTGGGTGTTTGTTTGGTTAGAAATTGTCGTGGCTAAGTTGTGCTTTTTCTAGGTTCCGATTGGCGACTGGCCCAAGAATGCGGCGTTGAAGGAATTGGGCGCCATTCGGGCGAGGCTTTTAAGCGGGATCTTGAAGGCTACGCGCTCGTGGCGGCTGCAGAGGGTATGGGCTGGGACAAGGAGCATACGCAGGTCTACGCTGCTAGCCTCCGGAAGGAGCTGGCGGACAGGAATATCCACCCGGTTTTCCGCCACAGGATTGTCTGGGGCCGGAAGCCATAAGAAGCTCCTGGGTGGAGATGGTTGGGTGATGCGAGTTACCCGGGGCGTAGTGATAATGAGATGATGCTGAAGTATCACGGTGACAAGGGCGGTCGGAGAGCCCTCCCAGATTGAAGAAGTGGTTCCAGGCTCAGTGGGAACCGGGAAAGAGAACATTGAACTTCGGGGGTAGGATGGGAGTAGCAAGCGGGCATCTTTTTCTTCTTCCTTTTCAAGTTGTTCAAGAAATGGGGTTTCGAAACCAGCCAGCGGCATTACCAGTTTGGTCTATTTCAATTTTTTCTTTTCGAATACAATTAAGATCTATTCTTCGCCCTATCCACTTGTGTGTCTTGTAGCTTACAGGACTTCCGCGGGAGCCCTATTTGCCGTTTTTCCCCCATTGGAAGGGCCCTCTTTGTGTTCCCGCGCCGTGTCCAGTTGATCAACCCCTCCGGTGTCTGTCAGTTCTGTCAGAGAGCTGGAAAGCTGGAAACGAATTTCTGAGAGTTCTGGACGGTGGCCATTCTTAGGACGAAACAAGGTGGCGCGATCGAGAGAATCGGCGTCGGCTTCAATCGGCGTTCTCACTAGATCCCATCCCCGAGAATCATGGCGTCTGCATGAGGACCTGTGAGTATAAAGGCGGCTTGTCGAAGGATGCTCGAAAATGTAGAAAAAGATAAGAATACATCATGCGCAAAGACGCTAGCAGTAGAGCTCTTATCGTAATTGTTTCTCTTCCTCTTCGCAATCTGTTATCAATCTTATCAATCCAATCGACATGGTTCCTTCCCCCTCATTGATCGTCGCTCTTATCATCGGCGTCTGCCGATCTCCCCCCACCGGAGTCACGTGGACTACACTCGCTTTTCAACCTATGTTGACATGCTCTCAGACTCTTTGGAGCCAACGAGTCTGCTTGACCTGACGGAGTTAAAAGTGAGAGGGCAAGAGAAAAGGAAAGAAACTTGAAGGCTCGAGTTTGGACTGTGAGAAGCCAATCTCACCGGGAAAGCCTCCGCTTCACATCGCCAAGCATCATTCGATCATCGCCAAGGATCCTGAGCCAAGGATCAAGAATGACCTGTGCGGGGCGTCTCCGAAAGAGGCCCATTTGGCTCCGAAAAGTCCAGCGCCTGCACCAGCGAGTTCCCGGCTTGAAGAAGATCCCGCTCGAGTCTCTCGCCATCATCGGCCTGCTGATCTTGGTCAACGCTGTAGTCTGGATCGCCGTAGCTATTGTCCTGGTGCGTTCAAACATCAATTGATCAATTGATTCATTTACCCTTTTTTTTTTTTTCTTTTACCCCTCACCTCGACGAAGACAACGAGAGTTCCTCGGCGACTAACACTTGGGCCAGCGTTTCTACCCGTAAGCACCATCACGTCTCGATTGTTGACAGTCTCGGCACAACTGTTTCTTGTAATCAACTAACATCGCGGTGCCAGCACCTTGGCCCCCAATGCCGTGCTGGCTTGGTCCCTTGGCTTGCGCCATGCCTTTGACGCGGACCATATCTCCGTAGGTGTTCTCCAAGGTGAATTTTAACTTTTAAGAATGCTGGCTGTGTCTAAGATCGAGTAGGCCATCGATTTGATGACGCGAAGACTGCTGGCAACGGGCCAAAAGGCCGTCACGGTCGGAACCTTCTTCTCCCTCGGTCACTCGACGTAAGGATTATCCTTTTCTTTTCGTAGCCGTTACTAAAAGGGACAATGGAATCTGATGACGTCGCCGCTAGCATCGTCATCATCACATCCATTGTCGTAGCCGCAACTGCCGCCGCCATCTCCACCCGCTTCGACAACTTCAGCACCGTCGGCGGCATCATCGGCACCTCCGTCAGTGCCGCCTTCCTCTTCGTGCTCGGCTTAATGAACGCTTACATCCTGTACAAGCTCGTCGTGCAGCTGAAAAAGGTGCTTCGGCTGCCGGCGGGGCATGAGGATGAGATTTGGAAGATTGAGGGGGGTGGGATCTTGTTTAGGATTTTGAAGAAGATGTTTAAGCTGATTGACCGGTGAGTGCGGACTTGTCTTGGATTCTTTTATTAGGAGACTCGACTCATAGCTTCGATTAGCCCCTGGAAGATGTACCCGTTGGGCGTTTTGTTCGGTCTCGGTTTCGACACCTCTTCGGAAATTGCCCTCCTGGGCATTTCCTCCATCGAGGCCGCCAAAGGAACCGACATTTGGGTCATTCTCATCTTCCCCGTCCTCTTCACATGTACGTTTCAGAACCTAAAGTGTCTCTCATGGCAGATTGACTAACTGTCGAAAAGCCGGCATGTGCCTCCTCGACACTACCGACGGAGCCTTAATGCTCGCCCTCTACGTCCAACCCGCAGCAAACTTCCTCCCTCCCAAGCCCGACACAGAGCCCCTCGTCGGAGACGAAGAGGCTGTCGAGGCGGTCAACGACGGACCCAGGCAGAACACCTTCCGCGACCCCATCGCCTTTCTCTACTACTCTATCGTCCTCACCTGCCTCACCGTCCTCGTCGCCATCGTCATCGGTGTCATCCAGGTCCTCTCGCTCGTCCTCAACGTGGCGAGTCCCACGCCGACGGGCAAATTTTGGGAGGGCGTCGAGACGGCTGGGGAGTATTATGATGCGATTGGAGGTGGGATTGCGGGGTGTTTTGTTGTTGTGGCGGTGTTGAGCGTTGTTGCTTATAAGCCGTGGAGGCGGTGGGTTGGGGAGAGACATGGGAAGCCTCTTCCCTCTGGGAATGAGGGGGGTATGGTCTTAGTGCCTGCTGCGAATGCATCCGAGGGTGCATTGCAAGCAGTGGAAAAGGGCGGGTCGGGGCCAGCAGAGGTCAAGCAGAATGACAAACAGACTGGCGTCGACCCGTTCGACAAGTGAACGGCAGAACGGCAGATACGCCGCTGAAGCCAAACGAGTGAATAAGCTCGATACTATTGTTATTGTATTTAAAACACGAGGCCTCAGCACCTTGGAAAAATTCGGCTATCAAAAGATGAAATCTGCCCGGTCGAGCACGGTAGCCACGGCTCGGTAGTAGCAGATTTGAACCCCTTTCAATGGGTCGAAATATTAAACCATTCCTCGTATTATCCGACATTCATATCTCATTAGTTCTTTCCACCACCCTATGCACGCTTCTTCACCATCACCATGACACCAGACACGCCCCCGCTGATCGCCTCCTTGCCCTTCTCCACCCCGCCGTCATGCAAAGCCTGCTCAATCTCCCGCCTCATCCTCCTCACCAAATCATCTTCAGTGCCCACAGCCTCAGGATGCGCCTCGCGCCACCTCGTAACCGGGCTCATCGTAGCGAGGATGGCCTCAATCGCCGCAGGAGACGCATCTCTCTTCGGCGTATCGTAGTATTGATCCCCGGGCTCAGCACCCGGAGCATCCGTCCCCCACTCCTGACGTACATAGGACTCCCGGTCGAACTCTGTCGCAGGATCGGGGATCGTCCACGGAAGAAGGACGTCCTTGTACAGATCATGAGTTAGCCGGTTCCCCGGCTCGATATACCCGTCTAGGCGCTCGTGGAGTCGGTCCAGGGCCTCTCTGACGCGTTGCGCGTTGGGTACAGACGAGTCGACGACGAGCGGTCCGCTCACCCAGAACGCGACCGTACCCCCCGGCTTCAGAACTTTGGCGGCGCGGTGCCAAAACACAGGCATGTCGAACCAATGCGCACAAGTCGCCGCGACGATGAGATCAACGCTCCCCTCCGCCACGGGAGGATCCAGATCCGTCCCCAAAAGCTCCGCAGAACTCGTCTCAAAACGGATAGCCTCCGAATTAGCTGACGTCCCGCCCGTGGCCCGCGCGATCTCGAGCATCCCCTCGGACGGGTCGATGCCGATGGCGCGGGTGAAGCGGGGCGCGAGGGCTCGTACTGCCTGGCCGGGCCCGCAGCCGACGTCGAGGACGAGGCCGAATTGGCCGGGGCCCGAGGAGGTGTGGTAGTTGAGGAGAATCTCGAAGAGGCGGGGGTGGTAGCCTGGGCGGAATTGGGCGTAGGTGGCGCCTTGTTTGGAGGTGTAGTCCCGGAAGGTCTTCTCCGACATGATGAGAGTGCTGTCGTCGATGGCGAGGACCAGGTGATGTTGTACTAATGAATAGTCAAAGGCTAAGCTTAAATCCAGTCAGTTAATTACATAGATTTCTTCCTCTAATCTGCCTCGGTTTCATAAGGAGGACATTCAAGTCAATGAAGCTGAATCCTACGCGGGGTTTAGGCAGAAGTGCAACCGAAGAAATACGGGGACCGTGCCGACCGATCCGGGCTTGAGCTCCGTGACAGCTGCCAGAACTGACGCTGACACTGTCACGCCTCTCGCGTCGCTGAATACCTCATCCCAGTCAGAACATGAGCCTAGAATTGAGTGAGGAGGTAGGGTAAGATTGTGGGAACAAGATGCGAATACCCGCACAGGGCCGGATGTTGAGGGCTTGTGAGGTGAAGAATTGGGTGTGATGATTGCTTGGGGATCCGATCTTTTGGCTTCACTTGCCTACTTGCGTGTCTTGTATTGATGGCTTATCGGATCCTACTACGATGCTTTTCGACGTTTCTATTCCGTTGGATGTGCTCCTTTTGTTTCCTTGCCATTGTATCCGACGCCCATCAGTCCACCTAGAGAGCTTGCGGCAGCTTCCTGGGAGTTCTAACTTGACCATTAACCACCTATCCTTATTTCCAGTTGCACTGGTCCATTCTCGTTGGGATCCGGGCTGGAATCCCAGAAAAGACACAAAAGTAGACAAAATAATGGATTCCAGCGAACCGGAATTAGAACTGGTAAGGAAATGAAATGTATTCGGAAAGGCTGGAGGGACTGAAGTGATGAAGCTGCTAGAACCGACTTCAAGTTCAACTTTCTAGCTAAAATAGATTTTCTCCGCCTTCAGACTTATGAATAATCTAACACAAGTTAGGATATTCATCAACGGGTGTAAATGAAATCACGGTATGCCAAGTCTTATGGTGCCTGCTGTTTGCTGCGGTACCCAGCATTCGATGGGATCGCTCGACGCAGCCTGCGATCGAGGTCGCATGTCAACTGACCTATGACCCCTCCTAAAAACTCTACCTTAGGATATCTTAATTTAGAGGAAGCTAGTCCCCTAAAGCTTCTACTAGCTCATCAAGACACTCTAAAGACTTTGAATTTCTATTATATACAGGTCCGATCCTGGAAGACAATCCTAGAATACCCTTTGTGCTATTCATTTTCCCAAGCTTCGGCGACTCTCTATGTATAGATGCACTGATGGCAGTGAGAGTGACTTCATAGCTTTCTGCCCTCTGTGGAAGGACCAGAAGCTACATGGGTTGCATGGTGGTGGCTTTAAGTTCGGGTTGGGCAAGACTGGGAGACCCCCGCCAGGGACAAGCCCGCTAGGGACTTTTCAGATGCACATCACCGGGGCTCTCTTCGAAGCTAAACCGGGTACATCGACCATGAAAGTAAGCCTGAGGGCCTTCATGGAAAGATGCCGTAGATGCCCTTCCGGGTACGACACGAGTCCCCTCTGTGCCCCTTTACTTGAGTTGAGAAAGGTGCCCGTTACCGTGCACCCTACTGGCGCCTACGGGAGGTGGACCGGATTACCTAGTACAGAGTAGTACGTTGAGCTGAGATCAAAGTAAAAAAGTTAGTTTTTGCTCCCGGCTGCTGGTTTCGATGTAATTGAATTTGCCATAGATGGATTTATATGGCAATACTATGAAGGGTAGAGGTGGTCGAGGCTTGGAACGAGAGGCAAGGCTCCCTAGCACAGCAATCGTCGCTGGAACGGTTTGTCAGTTATTTGTTGGTGGGAGTATCAGTCGAGAACAGAAACCATACATACATCCACGCACGAGTCGTACACTCATCTTGATATTGGAAATGAGCGGCCCGCCAAAGAAAACCGGTGTTCTTCAAAAGGATGTTCAAACATGCACCCGAAATTATAAACCCTTGGAGTGGACTGGTTCGGAAATGCGTCATGAAGTATAAAAAGCATCAAATCCTAAAAGATAACATTTGATTGAAGTTACCACCGCCGCTTCTAAGCACAGTCTGCCGACCTCGAGGGGTAAAAACCCACCTGAAGGGGTTGAGCTGAGAGAGCTGGCGCATAACACTTTCAAACTTCTGGATGGGGTTTTTGGCAAATTTTCTGTTACGTTCCCTTTCTCCTGATTATTATTCTTCACTGGCAATAGGCAGGAACTGCGTAACCAGCTAGATATTTTGAGAGGTATGAAATTAGAGATTTTTTGTGGTCTACCAGCGCCGGTTGGCTATTTTATATCATGGGCCATAGTCAATGCATTCTCACATGTCTTTGTCGGTCTGATGTGAGTACGACATAGCATGTTACATGCAACTATTTCATTCATGTCGGGGACTTCCAGCTTCTCCGAGACTACAGGGATGGTAAGCCAAACACAACACCCGAATCACGGAGTCCGAGCTGAGACGTGCATCCTGTGAAACCCTACGTATCCAAGTCAACCTCTATTCTTCTATCACTTTCATGGTTCTCATCTGCTACTTCACTTGAAGCCTGCTGTTATGAGAACAGAAGGGTGGGGACGTCTGCGTCGAGGTTCGTGATGGTTTTCCAAGAAATCTAAAGCTGCGCGACGAGTATGCCAAGCGGGCGTTCAACGTTACCGGACTTCCAACTCCAGCTGAGCAGCTTCCCCGAATCGGGCCTTTAAGTGTAGATTGAGCTCGCCCCGGGTTAGTCTCACCGAGGGCGTACCAATTGCTAGGGCTACGTCTTCCCCTATCACGAGACTGGTCCGAAATGGAGGAGTGACGTCGGACTTGGTGGGTGATGTTCTGGTCCCCTCCGCATTTGCGTGATGACATTGGGAAAAGCCAGTGGGAAAACCAATGACGAGAGGATAAATATGCCCAGTGCGTTGAGACAGCTGGACTTTATACTGCTCAGCCCCTCTCCCAGAGCCAGAGCAGCCGATCAAAAGCTTAAGAACTAACCAACCTTCCGAATTCAGTAATCCCTTTCAACCCAACACACCATCCAATCACTCTTCCGTGACAGTGGCCCACGAAGTTCTGGTCGTTCGAAACAGTCTGTGTGAACCACCGCGGATTCCCGTTCGCCCATTCCTCAGGCGCGGTGTCCCAATCGACAATCGCCCGTGTAAAATACCTATCCCCAACGCCAAAGCCCCCTTCTTCATAAAGCGTTCCGGAGAAATTGACCGGGAGGTGAATTGTCCTCTTACATCGCAAACAATTCTACCCAACCCACCGTTCTCCCTCTTGAAGCGCGTCTTTTCCGGCAAGTCCCGTGAGACCCTAGCAATCTCACCTTTAGCGGTGATGTTACCGCGGATTCAGCGGACGCTCAGAACCAGCTCGATGTTGGTGGATCGCGGAGGGATGGACAGGCCAGCATGTTGTTTCCCCTGTTAGGCTCCGCAGGCCACGTCCGGCTGACGACTACTCATTTGGGACGAACCCGAATCGCCAGTACATGTCCGGATATGCTAGCGCACGACACCCAGGGTCTGTGTGGCGCGAAGGAGGCGCATGAGACATGCTCGCATGCAATCTTGACCTACCAGTGGCGCGAAAATCTGGACACAATCACGTTGTAGTGAGTCGAGTCTGGCAAGGCATCCCAAACAGACATGACTTGGGCCTGATTGATGAGTATGCCAGAGGTCCCGTAGCATGAGTGCAGATGCAAGGAGATAGGGAAGTCCGCGGTTGATGTCAGTCAGAAGCAGCAGAATGCGTCATTCGTGTCAGAACTACTTGTCCGAAACTTGGAAATAAGTTCAAGCACGCTGTATATGGTTTCCTCCTCAGCTCAGTTGTGCAATCTAAGACCTTTTCACCGAGGCTATCTTA